GAAGACACTGATTCAAACGCTTTAATCGATTTGGGCGAAAGAAGTCTCTCATGCTATCCTAGTTCCATTGCATTCTCCTACTGCATTCGATTCATAGCAGTCATTCCACACCGTTTAGTGTTGAATGACAGCTAGTTTTATAAATGAACCATTTTTCTCTGAAGAGCAGTCGACAGCTGGACCACTGTGATTGCAGCTCACTTAGAGTCAATGTTAAAATGTTTCGTGATACATGAACTGCAGTAACGTGGCATTTTAGATACTACGATTTTTACGCAGAGCTGGGCCTAACCTCATGTGTGTCGCCACAGTTACTTAGGCAAACATTTCACGAATGAACGTCTTATAGGCCAACTTCCCCCTCTTCCCACCAGATCTTAACCTCTGTGACTTTTGGCTATTGGGGTTATCTCAAAAGCACTGTTTATGGTGAATCTAAAACATTTGGCAGAAATAAAAAAGTGTGATACACTGACATGCCCGTAATATTCCTCCTGATATGCTAAGAGCTGCTGAGAATGCAGTAACAGGATTTAACTTGCTTTCGGAAATGCTGGACGCTACTTGAGCATGCTTTGTAACACGTTTGGAAACTATTAAACATTTTAAACAGATGTTTTCATGTCTTATTTCATTTAACCTATTGTATACAGCGCCATTTTCGCTCTGGTGGTGAATTTTGAACTCTTTTATTTTCCGCGGAAAATAAATTCCCATAACCTCCTTTACACGATTCCCAAGTTTGATAACATTTGGTCCGGTAGTTTTCCTTTTATGACCATTTCAAATTGGAATTTTAATTATAACCACCCATGTAATTAAAAGTTGCCAGTTGGTTCATGTCCCCAGCTTTAAAAATATATATATAATATCTTTATTTATACTCTTTTTTTTTTCGCGTTATAGATTGTATAAAAAACATGATCTTTAATATGATTTAGATTGTTTCAGCCGATATAAGATCGGGTTACTCGGTGAATCCAGAATAAACCCTGCGGGACTGTTTTTTCTTTGTCATTTAGCAAAAACTTTTAATTAAATATTTATCCTTGGACTTCGCTTTAAACTTATTTATAGTTAAACATGACTAAAATGGAAAGCTGTCTTTAGCTGAAACGCAATTCATGTAATTCATATTTAAAAAAATTGAGAAGAATGCAAAAATTTATGGGAGTCTAGCAATCGAAAAATCTAAATTTTCTTGTGTGAGCACTGATACTGTAGAAAAGAAGAAATAGGGAAAAGAAAAGTAAGCAAAAATGTGCTGGGAAATTTGGCTGTCAGACATACCAAGATGTTTCAAAAAGTTGGATGCTTTTAATATACCTTTCAGTATACTTCAAAGAATTTAGGTGCTCAAAGAGAAAACACTTGGACGTGTACACCAGCCAATACCATCAATTGAGTTTGTGTTAACAGAAAAGATAAAAACGATATCATTGCAGATTAAAGTGAAGAGCGACTGGTTTTAGAGTATATTGTTGTATAAATTTAAATTACGTTATAGAACATCATATCGTATCATAAATGGAGAATCCCATGATTTTCTCATTCGAATTATTTGAAGATTCAGGAGTTTATCCAGTGATGTATTTGGATGTAACCTTAAGAGGTTTTTTTTTTCCTACTAGTGAAACAGCGACCGAGCGGTAAAGTCGCTGAACGCTGGTGGTTCCAACCCCGCGAACGGGCTGGCTGCATGGGCGTTTTCGTTGTTTTCCCCATGTGTAACGTGTATGCGAGCCAGTTTCCCTTAGAAAGTCCTCCACGAAGGCATCCCTCCCCTTAGGCAGATAGCCCTAGTGTGCTTTGCCATAATTAAATAAACCAAAACCTCTTGATGAAACCAGTCTTTCCTTTCATCTCATTACCTTCAAAATGTTTAGCCTCTAAAGACTGATAAAGGCTCTGACCAAATCTGATGAAATGGATTGAATTGGATTATTAAGTTACGTCAAAGCAGGGCTATCTGCCTAAAAGAAGGATGCCTTTGTGAAGAACTTTCTAAGGGAACCAGTTGGCACACGATACACATGAGAAAATCCACGGAAAACGCCCATGCACCAGCCCGTTTACCGGGATTCGAACCCCGGATGAACTACCAGTGTCAGAGACTTTACCGCTCGGCCGTTTATGGGCCTTTATGAAATGGAAAGCGATAACTTTATTTAAAATGATTGTCAGAAATATCACGATATTTCGAAAAGTTGGATGCTTTTTAATATACTTGCGGAATGCCTAAGAAAAAGAGCAAGAATAAAGTATAATGCCTGAAGAAAAACAGAAGAAAAAAAATAAAATGTTTGGGTAAAATTAGTATTTGTATTTTTTTTTTTTTAAAACTTTTTATCTTATGATATTTGATTCTTACGATTTCAAAAAATATTTGACTATAATTGAATAACATTAAGAAACCAAATGTAGGATAAAATTGTGCAATGGGCAGAATAATAAAACTGTTTAAAGAATGTATGCAAGTCATCCTAAGTTAAAATGTCGGTTATACATCTCTCCTCTTATATATATCTTTCTGAACGGAAACATTGAAGTCGTGTTAACTGTGCTTTACTGTATTTTCTCTTTTTAAATGCAGTTTTCAAACGCATCGTAGTCTGGGTTACAAAGTATTCCTCCGAAAGAAACGCTATTCAAATAAATAAAATCAAATTCTGGAAAATTTATATTAATATATTTAAATGCTCGTTCGAAGGAATAAATTGAAAATTTTAAAACAATTATCTGAAGAGACAATGCAAACACAACAATTAAAATAAAAGTATAAGAATTTAAAAAATACCTAAAATAATAACTATGACAAAAAAATATATAAGAAAACTATTTGAAAAACAATAAACGCTGCACCTTTATTTACGCAGTTCGAATAGGTAAAACAGAATTTTTAAAAACAGTATTCGAAAAAACCATGCAACTTAAACAATTAAAATGAAATTCGAAAAGAAAAAATTACTTAAAATAATAAGTTATAATTAAAATATAATATAAAGAATATTTTGGAAAAAGGAACGATGGTGACTTTTTTTTCCTCTCACGGGAAAGGAAACTAGGTTGCCATATATTAAGAAGTTCGCCAAGTGAAGTATTCTTGGCGCAAACTGACAAAAAGTGCCAACATAAATTTGTGAATTTCTCCGTAAATTTCGCTCCAAATTTACAAAATTTCATATTTAGGCGTAGCGTAATTTGAGTCGTAGAATCGAAATATGTAAAAAAATTGGTATGTTATTCAGGAAAAGTCCTATTTGTGTCAAAATACCTATGTTAGAATAGTGCTATATATAAAATAATATACATCCTAAGTCGCGCTTTCGAGACATGAAAGAAGGCAATTTGAATTTTGTCAATCGGCCCAGTAGATCGGGAGATATAGGACTGTCCCATTTTTTCTTTTGAGCAGTGTACATTGATTATATAATACCATATTTATATATATTAAATTTAAACGATAAAATTTATTAAAAGTATTTTAAATTTTACTAACATGTAATTGCTATATTATGACCAAGTAGTTAGAATGAAACTGGCATAATTTATAACGTGAAATCTAATCTTTTGTTCTCCTTTAAATTATGGCATTTAATACTATATGATGACTGGAAACTCGGCAATACAAAAGAGTTGGTTGCCAATATTGCTAAGAATAAATTAACTGTATCGGTGATTTCCAATATAAATAACAATGAAGTCTTCCAAGAAGTTATGGCAGTTTATGAATTTTCTTTTACAATAACAAAATATTTCCACATACTAAAAGCAGAAATATAATATTGTAACTTCTGATGACAGTTTCGTGTTTACTAGAAATTTCCATATTTTTCTGCAGATAAGTCGACTCCGTGATTTTATTCAAATAATCATTAAACTTATGTACACCCAAAGTATAAATAGATCTTCAATTTACAGGAACCTGAAAATTTGTTACGAAAGAAAAACTTGCTCAAAAGCGAAATTAAAAAAAAAAAAAAAAAAAAAAAATTAGGCTGTATTAGAAATTAAAGTACAAAGTTCTCAGAAAATATCTGGCAAAAATTTAAAGGCAGGCAGAAGACACAGAAATAAAAAGAGTTTGTAATCGAATGTGTGTGTCCAAATGGCATGTTAAATGTGCTATTGAGTGAGAGATAAAAGCATTCTGGTGTAGTGAACTGTCATTCCACGAGCGGATTTCGTGTGATATACATGGTTACCCGAAAGCAGAACTCGCCCTCATTCATTTTACCTGGAGTTATAGATGAAAACGGAGGAACTGCTCATAGGAGGTACACGGGAATCATTCTCTATACCTCTTTTTGCTAAGTACTCCATTTTAACTGCAGCCTCGTACATAAAATTTATGTCGACGAGCTTTGCATTAGTCTAGCGATGCATACCGTTCGAAAAATGCACGAGGAATAATAATTTATGCCAGCTGAACGCTTTTATCTTCCGTCCAGTAGACCTCTGTATCACCTCAACATGCCTTTTTAACATACACATTTCATTCCAAAATCTGCTTGTTTCGGTCTCCTGTATCTGCTTTTAAATTTTTGCCAGATATTTTCTGAACACCTATATTTCAAAAACAGGTTAATATCAGAATAGGCTACAATTTGGAGATGTTATGGCAGAAAGACTTTTAAGAAAATCGTCAAAATGTGTGCATTGTTATGCACATGCTTTTAAATGGATTGCATTTAGCCTTCATGATTTTAAAAGTACTCTCTGTTTGGTATAGTCGATTTATGGAAAGAAAATATAGAATGATGCAGATGCTGCGGCAGAAGATAAAAGAAAAATAAATAGACATTTTAAATTTCGAATGATGATGGCTGCAATTAAATCTACAACTATGATTTAAAGATAAGGCAATTAAAAAAGGTTTTAGCTGCATAAATGATTTTTTTGAAAATTTCTGATAACATAGAGGGCCACAAATATATTTTTGGTCTCTTTGTAAAATTTTGCAAAATAAGAATTTAAAAGAGATAAATAAAATATTTTTCTTTTGCTTAATGTTTTATTTGGAATGATAAATAAATAATTAATCACTTTTATTGAATACATTCATTAACTTGGTTACCAAATACAAATATAAATTATTATTTTATACCTGGCGTATAAGTTGATTAGACTCTTCAGAAGATAAATTTCTGGCCTGAAACCTCAAATTACATGTCGGAAAATAAGGCAGTGCATTTGATGAATCATATAATTTTTAACCTTTTGTTTTTGGTTTCTTAGATAATAAATCAACTAATTTTTTTCTGATTTATAATCCTAATTTTAGACATTGTTGACAGGAATGAATTAAAACTGGCTTTGGTTTCATCCTATGCTGTCCTTTGGGTTTGTATAGAAACCTTATTACATTTGCTTTAAAGATGTGTAATGTTCATCGCATTGCCTAAAGTTTACGCTCCACAAGTTTATCAAAGTACTTTACTTGACAGATGCAGTTTAAACCGCATTAAAATGGAAAATCATTACACTTCAGATTCCGTAGATTTCCTGTGTTCACGTTTATCTGATCCTTCTTGGGCTGGTCTGATCTCTATTTCTACATTTGTTTCATCTTCTCCCCCAATAGTGAGCACACCATTAGAATCTCGTGTTCCTGAAATGGCACTTTGCCTTTCTAGTTTAGTTAGCTTATTTGTGTTGGCACTGCCTCTGCTGAAGCTTCTTTTGGAATGTCTTTTCTCAAAGCTCTGCGCCTTTGCGCTCTTTCTATGAAGAACGACGCTGCTAGAGGTACTAGTGGATTATTAATAGCGGGTTCTTCATCAGTGGATGATAGTCTTCTTTCAGGTGTACCTAAGCTATTATTGTGCATAGCTAACATTGTCAGCCTCCTTGCACGTAGGCGTCGTTTTCTCAAGTGAGCTGTCATGTCTTGGTCCTCATCATACACTAAATTCGGATTATACTTGTGATGAAACTGAAATAGAAAAATGAAAAGAAATGTATTAATCTCAGATTTGATTTTATGATAGTTGATTAATGAATGTTGAACGTAAAACTGAGTATTTTATTCAATGATTTGCAAAGCGGATGATTGTAAAAGCGAATAAAGTTAATTTTCTGTATAATATTTCAAAACAAAAAATCCCTGTCAACTATCAATAGTTGGATTATTTTAGTTGGATATTGTTTACATTAGAGACATCCAAAAGATTTTCATCCATATTGCATATAATAAATAGCTGTTGCATTTCCTAGGAGTGCAGCTTTGCAATATCTAGGTCAGATGCAAACGTATCGATTTGATTCGTATTTTAGATACCAAATGAATATTCCGATAGGAAACAGAATACATATTTAGAACGCAGTTTTTGGATGTTTGAAAAGAATCGCTTTTGGAACGATTTCACTTTTTCAGTATCAGTGTTGCTTTTTGGATGCCCATTAGATGCCTAATAATTTACGTTTAAATATGTACCAGGAAAACGCATATTAAGCATATACATTACAACATCATTTGCAATTGGAATACATAATCGTAGCCGCTCGGTGTCCATATGGTAGCTACTGAGTTTCTCTCCGTCATCCAGGAGGAGAATTTTGTGATTGAAGCGTCTTTGAGTAACGATGTTACTCAAACATGATTCCGACAGTCCGAAACCCCATATTCCGTCTCATAGTGGGTTAAAACTCGTATGGTGCTTAGACACTTAGCTCTTCTTTGTCTAAATTTGCGAAACAAAAATTACAATCTTAATGCATATTAATTAAGTAATATTTTTTCTTTTAAATTTTATTTTCTCACATACAATGGAGGGAATGAGAGAGTCGATACTGCAGCAAAACTATCTACGAAACTTCATATTTATTTAAATCTCAGTAATCTAGCTTCTCACTGGAGTGTTTTTATAGGAAAGGGTTATTTGTATTTGGAACAGGGAATATTTTCTCTGGATGTCCTGGACAAAAAGGTTTTCCCAACAATGTTGCGGAGAATAAAAGTTGATCAATTTTCAGTAGTTTTTAAATTAAGTCAAATTTTGTCAGAGTATGGTAGTTTTAAGAGATATTTAAAACGATTTTGATCTGTTCCAAGAGCGCTATTTAGGGGTGGTAACAGTAATAAAGATGATAATATTCATTTTCAGTAGGTTCAGCATATTCAGAAGAATAAGGTACAAGCTATTTTAAAGGGCCCGTAGCATCTTGGCCATTAATGTTTTCCAAACTTTAACGGATTAAGCGGAATATTTCGCTTTTCGAAATTTCATTCTGAACTTAGCATTGAAATTTTTTTATTTTAATTTAATTTATTTTTATTTCTTTTTTGTTTTGCAGTCTTATTGTGTTTTATTTATTATGTTATTGCCATACTAAAAAAATAAAAAAAAACCTTCGTGGTTTACTTTATGAACACTATGAGAAAGATCTAAAATTACACTCCCCCCAAAATTAATTATTGGCATATAACAGTATGTAAATTCTTGTTACTTGCTACCACATTTCTTGATTGGGATATCTGATTGATACTCAGCTTCTATTCAGTAAAACCAGGCTACTGTATTAGTTTTTAAAATTTTAATCTTCATATTCTCACTGGAAAGAAAGCATCAGTGAAAATGATTATTTAATGTCTGTAAAATTTTCATCTCCAATTTAAATGCTGTAATTGAACACAACTTAAGATATATAAAATTCTGTATATTAAGGTTCTAATTAGCTTAATCTTTAAGAAGAATTTGACTGAAAGATGTTTTATTTCAGGTACTAAAGCGATTACCTTTTTCCTACGAAACTAATAGATAATTTAATATTAATACTTGAGCTCTGACTGAAAATTTCAAAATAAAGAGATGGTAATTTAAAATAGAACTGTGGAGACGTGTTTTATGAATGACCATAGAAACACACGCAGTATAAATTTTCATATTTATTTTATAAAGTAAGAAAAAGATGAGTTTGTTTAATGATTTATGATGATAGGCATAGTTAATAAAGCCAAGCAATATTTAGAGGCCTGGGTCTGAATAACTTATCGACATAGCAGTCTGGAAACTTTGGAAAACTGTACTCATAATTTTCATACAGGTCAAAATGCTCTGGAAACTCTTAATTTCCTATTCTTGTTAAATTTAATACTTTTATCATTTTCTTGTAAAAAATGAAATTGTGAATATAGTTTGACGTATAGAAATGCGTATTTTAAGCTTTCTTTTGTCCCTCATCGCATCTTATTGTGCGTATGAAGGCCTGTCCAAAGAACAGAATACCTCTGATTCCGATTTCTGCTATCACATAAAATTTGGAACAACAGACACCTGTACAACTTTTCTATAGACTGCGAAGTACTGAAAAACTGGGTTTAGCTGTTACTCTGGATGATGATGACGATGACGATGACGATGAAAGATTGTGTACTGAGTGCGACAGCTGATTAGTGGAAATGTGCAGTCTGAATTTTGCATTATTTTAATTACAAAATAGATAGAAAAAAATTTGTCAGCAATTGGTTGTTCCTTACAGTTTGTATGTGATAACTGTTTGACATATTTTTCCTATATAAACAAACATGTTTAAAACTTCTTATTTAAGTATGGAAAAACTATGCATAGTTGCATTTTGAAACTTTAGAAACTTGTATTTTGAGAAAGCATGGAAGCTAATGGTTAGCTGAGGAAAGAATAATGACTGAATATTTTGCATAATAGACATTTTGTAAATCTTGTAATTTAGCAGGCTAATACTCGATTTATAAGCAGGTCAAATAATAGGTATGAGAAATGAGGAAACTAATCTCAGAAAATACAACTTTCATTAAAAAAGTTGCATTACTACATTGTTTGATGATTCAGTGAAAATAAAGATGGGTAAGATGAACTAATTTCAGTGTGACATAGAGCTAGATTATTGATTAATAATGCAAATATCAACGAGTCAGAAAAATCTAATTCTGATATTTTTTCAGCAAAAACTATTGATAAATAGTTACCGCTATTTTCGTTCGATAGCAAATTGAATAAATAAAATTATTTTGGAAATATTTTAGCGTTTAACTCCATTTACTGAATTTTAGAATTAATATATTTTTGTGATTGTGTAATTATAAAGAGTTTTTTTTTACAATTATATAGTGATGTCATTGAATAAACCCATGTATTAAAGTATAGACATTACAAACCTTTTTGTAACATTACAGTTCGAATGTTAAAATAAAGATATTGCAATCTATAGACACGGTGTGAGCTGAATATTCTTATTTTACCTTGTTGTAGGGGTTGTCGAGAAGTGCTTTTTGCAATACTCTTGATGCATCTTCTTCAGGAGGCTTTGCAAACAATGCCAGTGTAGTTTGACGCTTCAGGAGTGGAGGACGCTTTGGAACAGCGCTAGCTTCAGAATTTCTTTCTGTTATAAAATCAAATTAAATACATGTAAGTAAATAAAATCCAGTTCATAAGCACTGATAATTATGAAATATGATACAAGCATATCTACAGGGCCTAGTTACTGCTTAGGCTGATGAGGCCTAGGCCCCCTAGGGTCCGAAACATTAGAAGGTATCTAAATCCAAGCCCTGTATATTTACAAGTAAAAGTACCATTTTCATAATAACTATAAACTATATCATGGTATACATAAACTTTATTGATCTTCAGAAGAAAATAAATATGCTAGTTTTTTTTTAGTGCAGTAGATAGCTGAGATAGTTTTAAGAATGTGAATGGCGGAATACAACTTTTATTGCATAGCAAAAGATGCAGAAGAAGAATTCTACTGCATTTGAAGCAAGAGTAGTGAAGTGTATTTCGAAGAGTAGTGAAGTAATATTTCGAAGTAACTGTTCGATACTTTTTCGTGTGGATACCTAAAGAATAGATTGTAGAAGGATAACTCGAGAACCGTGGTTGAACTGGAAGCTGAGATACCTAATGTAGTTCAGGCAGTTCCGTGTAAACGGAATGTAAAATATTCTAAAATGATTCAATTTAAGCAATAATTATATTATTAAAATATTTGAGACGTTGTTAAAATAAATTAAATTTAGAATGAACTTTATTAAGTGAGTAGCTGGATTATGAATCAGTTTCATTTATTAAAAAATATTGAACGGAAGCCAAAAGATAACAGTTTTTAACCTGTGAGCTTGACTGTGAATCAAGGTTGGTAGATTGAAGCATTGCTTTGAGGACTTCATTCTGCTGCACCTTAAATAACGGTCAATATGTCGTTTTAGTATTCGAAAACTTTTGACGGTGCCATGACAATCTCGGCGTAAATAAGAATATTAGAATCTAAATATTTCAGGTAAATGTGATTGTTATTTTTTGCTCAGTATTCAATGTTCTTATGCCAATATTAGTTTTAGGCTGCATCGTTTCGCGCATCCCATAATGCTTTGCGATAAATATGTTTGAGAGCTCAATAATATTTTTGGACTCAGATTACACTTTTTATTAACTGTTTTCATTCCCCCCAAAAGTTTTAACAATGTAATGAACAGCTTCCAATTTTTAAAAAGTTTTCATTTGCATTTTTTTAAAGTTTTTTTTTTTTTTTTTTTTAAATAAGCAAACTAGCTGGAAAAAAAAAGCTTTTTCTAAAGATCTTACAATGGTGTAGTATTTTCCCAAAATGTGCATGTTTTTATTAGTTGTATCGTATATTCTGCTTTTAAAGTGCTCTTACGGAAAAATGTCCAAGCAAAAAAGGGGTCACTGTTTGTTCAAATTGTAAAACTGCTATTAGACGCAGTCGGCCGTTACATTTCGTAACTTTAGTCATGCTTAACCAGTGTAGATTAACACCTTCAGTTAACTCTGATACTGATATTCGCTAAAGTTCTTTATCATTTGCATGGGTAGAAGAGGGTTCCCAGATGTCTTCTTGTTTCTGATGACTTCAGTTAGCCTTAATCTGACTGTAGCACAGTGTTGCACTGTGCTACAAGCAACTTTTCTGGGTCTTGGAGTAAAATGCTGCGTCTGAAAATATACTTTATAAACTGGTCGGCGAGAACAGGTTCCTAAGAAAAGTTACCTCATATATTTATAAAATATATCGTATCAATTAAACTGGCTCGGGAAAAGTGAGTTTTTGGAAAAGTTTGCTTGTTTCTTGTGGTATTTATTGGCAGTCTGACAGAGGATTTAATTTTGCTGTATTTATGATCGAGTTAACAGTTAACTCTTCAGCGAGCACGAGAAATCATTTGACCTCTACATATTACGCAAATAAAACATTTTTGAAATCCAGTCTCTTGATTTTAAGAACACAAAGTTAACAAAATGCAAGAATTTATAGCTCCCTTCTTTCTCAAACTCTTCAAATCTAATGCTTCTGTTACAGCATATTTTAAACAGATAATATATTTATCTCTAACTTCACAAGTTCAATTAAAGCTGCTTTTTATAAGAAAATACATTCTTAAAAAAGAAAGATATTGCAAAAGGGAATGTGTCTTAAAAGCTAGCTGCAAGCAACTTACCCGGTATTGGTATCCGAAGATGCCTGGCAGCTTAATATAGAAAAAACCAACGGATTACTTTCTATGAACTACAGTGTAAACTATTGTACACTTTTGCAAGCTTCTGCAGCTTCATGCAGCATTATCACACTTTATTTATTTATTTAAATATATTCGAAGCTTTAACTGCCGTTCTCATGCAAATATGTACCATAAATCCGAAAATATTGTGCTCATTGCATGCTCTTGAAATGAGTTTGGCAGCATGCAAAGAAGTGAATATCGTTTGAACACTTACCCCCAATCGCAAATTTTACGATGGAACGACCAGCTTATGAAAAAGAAAAGAATAATCAGTTTTTGTTTAATTAGAATATATTGTTATGATTTCAAGAAATAAAATAAAATAATATTAATTGCAGTACGTTATCCGAGTTATTAAAAAATACAAGTTAATCAACATATTCCACATCATTAATTGCGTTAACGAAGTGAATTAAAAGAATAATGAAGACATATTTTATTTCACCGTCCATTTTAAATGTTGTATTGATCTGATATTACGATACTACGTTCTCTCAAAAAACATTTTGTCTGAATAAAGAAATCATTAGTAAAATAAGCATTGATGCAGTGAATGACGTTGATGGCAGTTTCTGTGAATTCTGTCGCTAACAGCTTCAGAGAATACATAGAAATTGCATTAAGAGGATTTTATACACAAATTCAAAAAAGTTACAAAAATTATTAATATCGACAAAAATTCAATAGCGATGAAGCCTCATAATTTTGAATAAAGTATAAAGAAGTCTATCAAATTTTAATCTCTACGTCAAATAGTTCCGATTGTGCAATAGACGTTATCAAATATGAATTTTGCTATCAAATATTTCGATAGTACAATGGATTTTATTAAATTTTAATTTAAGTACTACATATTTCCAACAGGTTAAAAGATTTTTAAAAAAATGTATCTAAACTTTATCAAAAATATTCCTAGTTATGTAGAATGCTTTAGAAACAACTAACATTTTTTAAAAACATGAATGGGTAAAATATTAGAGAAATCATGAAGCGTTTTTTATTTTCGAAGCAGGAAGCGTGAAAAATATGCAATGTTCTCGCCGGGATTCGAAAAAACATTCTTAAGAAATGGCAGTCGAGAACTCCGGACCTCCCAAGTGCCCGACAGACGTGCATGCATTTACACTTGAAGATACGTAGTAAGGAGGGAGAAAATACCTTACACTGTGCTCATTACATGGTATCGATATAAGGACGGTCACCATAACTTTATAGGCAATCCAATATAGTTGGGATTTCTATGGAGCAATGATCCCTCCAATATCGTATTACGAAAGTAGAATCATCCATTCAATCCATAAAATTCCCGCTCTACAGAATCCACAAGAACTACATCAACGCTCTCTCCGGAGTGTTAAAGTGACAGTATAGTATGGAGTTTGGTATTACTCAACCATATTTCCTTGAAAATTAACCAGGTGAAATAATTATTGTAAATGTTGAACGTAAGATTCAGAACTTGGTTCAAGATGCCATAGCTTCTAGAAAACATGAGTGGCGTTTTCAACAGGATGGAACAACCACCACCGACTTGGCTAAATTTACATGGTCATCTCCAGGAGGTTTTGGATAGACAGTCTGATTTAGCTGCAACTGATTAGTTGCTTTGCGATTACCTCAAAAACAAAGTGTAGGAAACACAATTTCGTATCACGGTTTAAATACCAGTTTCGGAAATGTATGCAGTGAATTCTTCATGCACTGCTTTATCTTGCAATGACATCCTTGCCAGTTTTGACTGTAGTAATACACTCGGAAGCAGAATGATCACTTACCCCGTGCAATGTTAAAAATAGATGGTAATGTTACAAACTCCAAAGTCTCTGTTACAATATAACAGAGACTTATACTATATACTATATTATATATTAATGAGAAACTACACATTTCTGCTAACCATTAGCATATTTTTTTTTCAAAAACCATAAGTTAACCAAATACGATGAAATATTTTAATGAAAATATTATGTAATTCATTATAAAAATACAGTTAAAATAAGAATATGCGTAAAGTCCGACGACTACAGATCTATTTCAAATGATCCGGAGGGTTTTGTAATAATTTATATATAAAGGTTGTAGAGTCATTAGGTTATTTTGATGCTGGAGAAGTGAAAAATAAATAATGCCCTCATCGGGACTCGAACCTGGACCTCTCGAATACGCACCGAGTGTGCTACCGTTACACCACGAAGGCATGCAGAAAGGAGGAGGAAAATGCCTTATATACTTCCCCTTTTAAAGGGCGGCTGGGGATTAGGGGACCCAATCGCCAAAGCTTCATGGAAAAGAATCATTATCCACTTGCCGGGACTCGAAACTGGACTTTGCTACGTTATACCACGAAGGCATGCAGCAAGAAAAGGAGAAAATAACTTATGAGTGTCTTAACTGCGCACACGGGGTGCCCTTGCAGTTGTGTGTTTTTCGCGCTTTTGATTTTTGTGAATTTATGTGGTAAATAAGACCATAAGATTGGGTTTTGGTGTTAATTTCTGTTTAACTTTCCAATGCTGTTTTATATAGATTTGTGCAATTATACGGCGTTTATTGTGAATTTTGAACTGCCTGCTACGCTGGAGCCGTTACGCCTAACTGATGGACGTGTTTACATTTCACTTCGACAATCTATAGATTATTAATTCAAAATGAGCGGCAGAATAGGTGTGAATTAGTGTTTTTCTGTATTTAATTTGAAAATTGTGGTCAAAGATTAACTTAGTATAGAAAAATTTGGGCGTTGGATTGTTATATCTTCAAAACTTTAAATACGTGTGTGAAGGTGGTTTTTGACTGTTTTTGAAATTTTTCGATATTATTATATATTCTTATTCTCTTTCACACCTTATAAAATCTAAAGTCATTTCTTATGTAATTTACAAGAATTTACATGATTAACTTTTCTATACTAATTTTGAGTTCGTGCATAATGATGTTTCAGGACTTTTTTTTTTAAGAGTTTTTGATATTATTTAGTATCTTTACTTATTTTCACACATTTTTATGTAGCACAATGATATTTTCATATTTTACTTAAAAAGATATACATGATTGATTCTTCCATGCTTACCAAGTTTGAACTTTTGTATGATGGTACTTCTTTATTGTTTTTGATTTTTTTTTGTAGTATTGCGTATCTTCATATACTTTAACACTCATTTATGTAACTTAAAGATATTTATATGTGCAATTTTGAAGATTTCACATGACTGACTTTTCTACGAAAATTAACGGATAATTTTGTGCATAAGGGGAACTTTATCCAGTAGGAAGTCCAAGATGCGGAATGGTCGGGACTTCAGCGATTCCGGATTTGGGATTTTTCCGGATATTAGATCCTCAATTTAAATCTAGTAAGATGGCATGTAGAAATTTTAAAAAATTAAAAATATGAAATCGTTAATTCATGAAATACTGAAGCATTTATGATCTAATGATGCCCAAATTTGCAAAAACAAAACAAAAACAAAACAAAACAAAACAAAAACAAAAAAAAAAAAAAAAAGAGAGAGAGAGAGATTAATATTTATTTGTTTACTTTACTAAAAATTTGATTCAATGTAAGTTGTTTAAGTTCCTTCGATTTTTGAGCTAATACTTTCTCTTTAATACTATAGACAGACAAAATTTCTTGTTCATTTACAAAGTTCCATTTTGTTCAAGTCCACTAATTGCCGTGTCAAGAATTCCGACTAACTTATCAATCAAAACCTTTTCGTTTTCAATAACCTCTTTGCCACTTTCTTCACTATCGGTAGCGGTATTTTCTGGATCTAGAACCACTACAGATTTCGCCGTCTGTTAATTGATTGATGATTGGGGCAATATTATCGCAATGAAAAATTTTTGTTATATCATTTTCATTCATTACCGCTTCTTCACATTTGTTTACAAAATCCATTAACTGGAAAATTTCACCTTTAGTTTGCGATATCCGAAAGTCTTCAAATTAGAGGCTATCATCTTCATCTTCATCATCCTCGCCATGAAATATGGTAGCTGGCCATAAATTATGCCAAGCATTTTTTAATCTGGAGGCACATCCTCCCACGATCTTGCGATGCTCCACACAGCAGAGTTTATCCTAAAATATTTTTAAAATTCTTGAATAGTTTTGCCATTATTCACGAAATTTAATATGGATTTTAAAAATGCTACTTTATATTTGCATTTCAGCGCGCGCACTATTACGATATCCATAGGCTGAATGATGGACGTACAGTTTGGAGGAAAGAATAATATGGATACATTATCTTTCACTAAAACTTTAAGTGAAGTCTGAACCGAAGAGTTGTCTACAATCAGAACAATCTTTGTCTGGACATTGTCTGGAGGGTAACGAAGGGTGGCGTCCAGATGAGATTATCTTTCAGTTGTTGAGCAAATCTTTTCGAATGATGGTAACATTGACTCCTGTGTCGATGGTCATTTTGCAAGGAACTGTTTTCATATGTCCCATTATGAAAAGTCCATTCCTGCCTCCACTGATTGCAGAAATCTGAAGCGCTTTAAACTGGAGCTTTTCATTACCTGGCAACCTCCTCCCATCGACTATGGCCACTAATTAGTTTCCCTCCTTCTTGATATGTGCGGTCTTAATTTCCGAGCCCTGGGGTATTCTGCAGTTCCGTCGTATGTGGCCTTCAGCACCACAGTTACATCACTTTAGGGTCGGCTTCTTATCACCAATATTCCGTCTCAATACATTCAGTTGTATGATTAAATAGTCTAGGCGAGCAGCCATTTGATCCTCTGGATTTTGGACTAGGGCAGCTCTGATTGGGTGGCGGTCTCTACGAGTTATTCGCTGGGCTGTTCCTGGAGAGTTTTTCTGGGTTCTGTTGATGGGAATTTAATTGAAGCCTTCTGTAGTCTTTTAAACCCTTCTCCCCAAAGCGCAGCTCCAACGCGCCGGACAGAGCTTCGAAATCTAGTCTTTTGTTTTCGAGAAGAGTCTGTAGGCTGTCCGCTGCGTCTGCTCTTAAAGAAGCGGCGAGATGGCAGGCCTTAGCTTGGGGACCCCATACATTCGCTTCTGCCACTATAGAAAATTGCCAAGAGCTTATACACTTGCAAGAGGTCTTCCCATCATATGTGCACAACTTCAAGGAGGGACGTTCAGGCACGATCAAATTTTAAACCATCAGAATTGCTCCCCGCCATCGCTGCGAATTTAAGGCATCAACTTCTTTGGAGACTGCAGAAACTTTGTCATCAATTTGTTGTTCCACGGGAGAAACTCTCTCTTTTATTTGTTCTTTCACAGAACAAACTATGTAATTTATTAGTTGTTCCGCGGCAGAAACTCTTTTCTATTTGTCCTTTGGCAGAAGAAACGTTTTCTTCAGTGTGTCCCACTTTATTTTCAATCACATTTATTCTGTTTTCCATATCCTCAAATTTGTTTTCTATTATGCAGGTAATTTCTCTTTTCATTTCTTCTTGACCTGCTTCAATCTTTTCTTGAACGGCTTTCATCTAATCTTTAACTGATTCTTGACCAGCTTTAATCTTTTTAATGGAATATTTCATTTCTTCTTTAAATGCAGCAAAGGCTGCCATCAGCTGTCTTAATTGCGCCTTCATTGCTGCTCTTGTTATTCAATCCCACTCCTGAGACCAAAAAAGTGCTGCATATCTTGTAACAGTACGGGCTCGTAATAGAAAGTGGGGCACAAGTCCAATAAAAGGTTAATAAAATTTATTCCTATCAAAAGAAATATAACAGAACGCTGGATTTTTCCTCAGAGATATTCATACCATACCACAGTATCACGCAATATAATCAGTAGCTATACTTTAAACTACTAAAAAGTTAAATAGCACAGAGAAAGCTAATCCGATCAGCAATAATATCAGCAGCTAACTAAAAAACTGAGCTGAGATGTCTCTCTTCCGCTTTTTAAAGCTTTCAAGTCGGTCGCGAGAGAGTTCTAGTAATTTCTGCTTCTCGAGTTTTCTGGAAAGCAGAAAGAGTAGAATTATGGTTACAGTAGTCAATTACATTTATTCAAATTAAATATAAAAATACCGAGATAACCTTTTATTCAATGTTAAAATGCATGTGCTCTTGTATTTTTACTTTTCCGGCGTAGCTATCTCGTAAAATTTGTCACGCGCTGCATTGCAATTTTAATTATAATTCTACTAAAAACATCAAACTAAATACAAAATTCGTAACAATATCATAAAAGTAATTATTAGAAATATTAAAATCGTGATTTTTTATACTTCAAGTAATAATATACTTTATTACTACTTGGAAGCTTAGTATAAGTACGAAACTCCTATTACTAAATTATTTGTGTTTTGTAATACTAATCAAATTTCAGGAAACTGTTTGCCTTTTTTTTAAGTTGTGGCAATATCGTATTGATTAAAAGATTTTTTAATTATTTTCAATTAGCTCTTCTCTACATATAATAAAAGAAAGAGTCTGTGTGTGTGTCTTTCGTTTGCGCTTGCGCGTAAGCTAATAAACTCACGGCTACGAAATTTGGTACAAGGGCATCTAGACAAGAGCCAGGCACCTCGCGTAGCGATTTTTTCAATTCGAATTCGAATTTTTATTTTCTTTAGTTTTGTGACGAAATCGCGTCATTTTGAGACCTAAACTGGGCTATAGGACGCGAGATTTACTCTACACACTCCATTTTTACATCGTCATGGAACTAGGCCTTAGCTATTTTACGAACTTTAAATAAATCGTGTTTCAAAAACCGTTCTACGTTTATTTACAAAGGGGGAGCTAACACCTTATCAACGGGATTTTTCTAAAAATTTATTTTAAAAATGTACAGTTATTTTCTTTATTTTTGGGACACTTAAACTCACCTTGCGACTGATTTTACAAAAACAATTTGGAAAAATGATAATTTTGCATTAAAAAAAAAAATTTGGGAAAATGATAATATTTTAAATGAAGAAAAAATTTTTTGAATGCTTCGAGTACACTTCTCACAGCTCTCATCTTTTTAAAATGTGATTGGCAACAATTTACTGTCTATGTTGCTGATAGTTTTGATGAAATCGATCATTTTGAAGGTTTCATTCTTTTTAGACATATGGGTTTGGAAACAATTTTCACCGTTTCTATGTACTGGTTTAAGAATTGGCTTTATTTAATTGTCATTAATATATAATCTTTTATTGATTTTTTGATAAAATTGTTCTGCAGAGTAAAAATTCTGCGCGGAATTTTTGTTTTTGAAGCTTCATGTTTTTTGCTTATTCACGTTGTAAGATATTGAAAAGTTTGCATGTTTTTTTCTTCAACGAAAAGTTGGTAATTTTTTATTGGGACAATTAATATGTATTAGGGATATTGCTTATTTCATTATTTTGTTATAGGTAATAACTTTTTTTTATGAAGTTGTTCTGCAGATTAAAATTCTACGCAGTTTTTAAATTTAACTTTTGGTGTTTTCTTCAGCTATTTTCCTGGTACATTTAAAAGCCAAACGAAGGCTGGCAGCGAAGCCGCTAGTAACTAATATGATAATCATTTTCCAGAAATTTAAATCAACACTGAGAAACTGCTTACATGAAACATATTTTGCGTTTTGAGGATTATATTTGTGTTGAGAATTCTGCCTTTTTTACTGCATTACTTAACAAACAGCTGCTTTCGTAAAGGCTGTGTCTAATACTTACCAAATAATTAAAAGTAGATTATCAATGAATAAATTTATTTGACAGAAACCCGGGAAATTGAGCAAATCGTTTTGTACCATCTGAGTTTCTTAAACTATCTCTCTCGGCACAATAATTCGAAAAAGCTGAAGTGACGTATGATGTCCGACAATAAATTTATACTGTCACACAAGCTTATAGCCTGTCCCTACAATGTTGTGTTGAAAATGAAAAAGATAGTTTCTCTTTAAAACGAAAGTAATTTTTGTAAATGAAGATTAATGATTCCTTTCATTTCTTTTTTGATTTTAAAATAATAAGAATAAAGTAAAGGTTATGTTTTTTTGGTTGGGTAGCTAAGTCCTCGAGTATTCTACTTTACATTGTATTTTACGAATTAGGAGACTATAAAGTATTCCTTTGTAATTAATAAAAAATTATTATGTTCTTGGATTAAATAACATTTACCCCATTTCTTATTATTGACACATACATATAATTAGTCTTAGCCATATAAAGTTAAAAATAGCTTTTGAGGAACTTCATAATGATATTTTTCGCTTTCGCACACACGTACACACACATACAATAAATAAATAGATGAAAATAAAAATAATAAATGAATAAATAAATAAAATCCTCAGATTTATCATCGAAGTATAATAGTTAACTACTTTACCAGAAAGCAGGGAAGTTTATTTTTATCTTAATAACATATACAAATAAAATAATGATAAAATATATAAACAGACGTATTTGTGGGACATAAAAAATCAGACTCAAATACTCCATTTATTATAATTACAATCATAAATACATTTTATATTGATAAAAACCAATAGTCCTTTTATTCATGTGGGCTTTTTATTAACTTGGGATTATATATATATGTGGGCTTATATCAGTGGGAACTTTTATCAGTGTGGGCTTTTATCTATGTGCGCTTTCATTCAGGTGGGTATTTGTCTTGTGGGCAATTAATTATCATAGTAGAATTATTTCTGTGGGCTTTTGCCGCTTACACTTTCGTTCAGTGTGCTTTTATCAGGTAACCGTTGTAAACGTCTTACAAGTAAGTTTGCAAAATCTTTTTAAGCGAAGGTGAAACAAAGATCATTTTTTCATGGACAGTTGAAAATATTTGTTGTGGAAGAGTAAGATATGAATTGACAGAAATATGGAACAATTTATTTCTTTGCACATCTACCTATATCCTTTCACTGGTTCTTGAAAGACTAATGTATAGCCTTTTTTTTTTTTTTGGTTTACCTTTCCCTAGGAAGACTTTTCAAACATAATTGTAAGACGCTACAATGTACATTAAACTGAATTTGGATGCTGATTCAATTTCTGATCTAAAAATAGTTTAATGTAATTTGGGATATTCGCAAAAATACTTTCTTTGATTTATGAATTCAATTTCCTTTTATTCTCAAATGTAAAAAATTAGTTCTGGTTTCATAATTCATGTGCAGTTTATTTTAGTTCTGCTTTGGGTTTACTTTAAATAACTCTCAAAGGGAAATAAACTCGCAATAAAGATAATATGCAACAGGAGGGGCTGTCATCTTTAAGTAACACAGTATCAAAATTAATAAAAATAAGCATTTAATAAAAATAAATATTTAATAATAATAATAAAAATAATAAATAAATAAATAAGCATTTAATAATAATTAATAAAAATAAAGCAATTAATAATAAAATAAAAAATAAAGATTATTTTTGGTATTAAAAAATAAGCTAACTAGTTTTATTTCCACAGAATTCTAGTTTTATAATAATAGTTTAATAATAATAATATTCTAGTTTTATTTCCATAAAAAATATATTTTATGACTGCTAAATAGCAGTCATAAAATGTTAAAATTTTTTTCCATATGGATAAATGTCATATGGATGAAAATTTGTATAATAATTCATAAATTTGTCATAAGACAGACCAAGCATTAACTTTTGTTTATCATGAATATAAATAGGGAAGGTTAAAACTGTAAATAAATTATCTGAAACTCACTTTTTTTGGACCTCAGAGGTTTAGCCTCATCGGGCTCCTGCATATCGAATTTCGTACTATGCCGCCTTAACTTTTGAATGTCAGCTTCATCTCTCTGTTCTGCTTCTTCTTCCTCCTCTTCGGCGACTGGAGGGAGTACTTCCAAAATGTCGTCCTCTTCTGTGGATACTCTTGAGAAATATATCAAGAAATATCGTGTCACAAATTCTCACCCAGTGAAATAAAACTGTATTATTTCATGAACGCTTTTAAAAATACCAGTGTTCAATTCGAATTCTAAGAACTGATGTCTTAGTTCCCGTTATGCCAGGAATGGTCAAAGGACTAAATGTGTTAAATACCAGTATCAGTGCATATATCATAAGAAACAACAATGGAACTTACTTGTGTAACAAAAGCGGTTTGTGATCTTCTATTGCAGCAGCAGGACCATAGAGGTGAGCAAAATGATCCCTAAGGAAATGAAGGCATGTAATAAAGAAAGCTGCTTTAGATAATACTTTTTTTAAATCATTAAAAAATTTTCGAATGAAAAATAATTTTTTTCCTAACATTGTTTATTCGATTCAAACATTCGATACCGAAAATTAATATTTTTGATTTTAATTTTCGGTATCGAATGTTAGCACGGCGCAAGTAACAAATCGCTGGAATTGGTTTACGGTTTCGATTTTGAATTACCGATCAAAAGCAGCCTAAGTAATAATTCTATCGAAACAGAGACACATTTATCTAAATATTTTAAACCTATTATAATTTGTAAATTAGGTGGACTTTGCATAAAACTTTTATTAATTTAAATTTATAGCCATGGAAATTTCTGTCTTATCTTCTTCTGTACGAGAAACTACTATTCTTACAAATAAAAAAAATGTCTTAAATCCCTATTTGGCCCTTTTCCGTGTTTTTTGTTTGAAATAATTAATAATAATAATCATTAAATAATAAGTAATTTGTTCTAAATAATGAATTTGCAAAGTGTGAAATTTTCATGTTCCGTTAAGTTTGCCAACTTTGTGGCCGCTTTAAGAAGAAGCACTACAAATTTTTACTTCACGATGTATTTACGACATATCTGAAATATTTTATGCCTTAATTATTCCTATTAGTGGAATTTGAATTCAATTTTCTCTTAAGTTTCTTAATGTTCTGGCACTTATTTTGGAAATATTCCTCGAGTTCCTGTGATGGTTACGAATGTGAAAATTAATTGTCCAAAATTAAAACAAAAAATTTAAAACAGTGCGGGGCCATTAAGTAACTCAAGGAGATTATTTTGTCCCGAAACATAAAAAGCAAATTGTTTTCAGCATCAAAAACAATTCTGAAGAGTAATGAACGTAAGATAAAGTTAGAAAGCTGGAAATTTAATAAACAGACAGACAAATTTTAACATTTGTCACAAAGGCTGATTAATGTATTCCAAACACATACGTATATCATTCAGCTTTTGACCGCAGTGAAAAAAGTACAGAAATACCACAGTAAACGCATGAAACAATACAGATCGAAGAACCTGACTGGTTTGAATTTTTTTGATGCATTTATTGCAAATCACACCAAGGCTATCTTTTTATGGGAAAGGATAATTTCATGGAGAAATTTTTTAGCGGCCTTTATTTACATTATACTTGGCAGTTCATAACGATATTATAATGTTTTCCTTTTAACCGTTCTGCTCAAAGTGGACTAACAGAAAAATTGCGCGTAAGGGATACTCATTGCCTAGTATGATGGTGAAATTCAAATTAACCGTTCAGCTGTATACTACTCGTACAGACAATTGTAAAAGGTTGGCAATTGTGGCGAACCTCTTAGGTTTAGCAAGTTAAAAGTTGCGAATTTATAGTATTTGTTATCTAGAGTCTCACCAGTGCACCTCGACCTTCACGTGAGATAAGTACAATCCTATCATGTGTAGTATCATGAATTACAAGTAAAACCAGGCTTATTTTCTAAAATTAAGAGTGCAGACGAATTACAGAAGACCACCAAAAACGTCGAACAGAAATAAATAAATAAAATACTAATAAATAAAGATAAACAATGAATAGCTAAAATGAAATAAAATACAAAAGGGTGAATAAAAATAGTAACGAATTTTGCTAATGAAGAATAGATAAATAAGAAATTTATTAAGAATGATGTATTACGAAAATTAAATGAAATTAATAAAACAAATGCAAAAGGTAATTATAATTTTGAGAGATATTGTAAGGATCTTAAGTTTTACTAACGTTTATTTTTATTTTAAATCTTTACTATCACTTCTTATTTTCTACTTCCGGCCAGAATTATAAGCGTTAAGGTTTTTATGCAAAGTTTGTCTGGCGAACGCCAAGTATTTAAGTTGTGGCCTTTTGCCAAGCGAGAGAGAGGAAGCAGTGAGTCAAAGCAGGCCGCTTACCTTAGAAGTTACGCAGTTGCTGTTTGCCTTCCAGGCCAGAGGTTTTAATCCTCTTGATAAAATTTAAACGTATTGTAGTGTTCACAGTCTCTGTACTACAGACGCTTCCTGTTAATATAAGGCCAATCTTCCACGTTTATTATTCTAAAGTTAAATTAGAGTTTAGTTTTATTTTTATACTTTTACGTTAGACCCCAAGTAGCGGGTCAGTGTATTCCGAAGTACGGAAGTTATTGTATATAGAGAAAAAATAAAGGGTTTTGTATACCCTTCGTCTGTATCCTGTCTACTTACCACAATTAGTGAACATAGCTTTAGTAAGCTCTCTGTTCCGAGTCAGGTCCTTGTATGTTCCCGAAGAAGGTAAGAAGGAACATTGACCCTGATAGTGGCGCCCAACGAAGAATAACCATGGCCGAGTTTCAAGAAGAACCTGTGCTGCCTGCAGAGAAACGGCTCAGAATCCAGAAATGCCAGCTGCCGCCCTGGAAGGATTTGGTTACATCGTCCAGACCATGCGCGCTTCGATGATGAAACCAGAAGCAACATTTAATGGAAACTCACCGGTAACCAGTTTTTTGGAAAAATTGGATGACCACTTCATGCTCTACCCCGTGCACGAGTTTCAAAAAGTTACCTTAGCTACCAGCGCTTTGAGGGGCCAAGCGCTTAACTGGTTCAAATGTATAGGCAGAAGTCTCTTGGGTCAAGCAGGAAGTCCCACCTATACTTACGAAAATTTCAAGACTGCCCTACTAAAAGCCTTCCCTGTTGTAAGGGATCGTGCGAAATTAGAAACGGAACTTTTCAGTATATATCAACAAAGAATCGAAAACCTCTCGAGCTTTATTTTAAGAAAAATTCACGTTTTCAAGCTCTTGTATGGAAACCGTCCGGATCCTGAAATAATTCAAGTGATTTTGCCGAGGTTACTGCCCCAAGTGCAAGACTTTATTGAATTAAGAAATCCGACTACACTGGAAAAGTTATTTGAGCTAGCAATCCAGTTTGAAAGTAGAAGAACGGCGGACGTCGAAAGAAGACGCCAATATCAACAGCGAAACCAATTTGGTACGCCAAGACTACAGCAAACTCAAGCACACGGCTACGGAGAAAAAGCGAATCAGTGGGCAAGGAAACCCGAGCATTCAAAAACAGCCGGCGAACGTCGACAGTTCAATAGCAACCCAGGAAAAAAGTCTCAAGGCCAGTGGGAAAAAGAAGGAAAGCACGGAAAGGAAAAAATAATTTAAACTAAAACGGATTTCTGCTGACGAGAGGGTGCGGAAATCCGAAGGCCACGAAAACCCCTCTTCCTACAAGTTAAATACAGTAATGGTGAAAAATTTGACTCTTCCGAAGATTGAAGTCTTGGTGAATAATATCCCAGCCACCGCACTCCTGGATACCGGCGCGCAGTGTTCCTGTGTGGCAGAAGATTTTTTTAGGAAGTATTTTCGCAAATACCGCATATATAATTCGGATAATACGACAGTGTTAGCGGCGCAAGGAGAAAAATGTAAGTGCGTAGGTAAAGTACCTTTGTATATCCGTATCAAGGACGAACAAGTAAAGGTGATGTTTTTTATAGTAAAGAATCTGCAAGCACATTTAATTTTAGGAATAGATTTTCTTTCAGAAGCACAAGCTACGCTGGATTTTAATGAAGCGTCCCTTAAGCTGACAATGAAACCAGTTCGTACTGAAAAGGCTGAACCGCCGATGGTAAATCTTGACCACCTGCCTAATGACGAGCAAGGAAGAATCCGACAAGTGGTAAGTGAATTTGCTTCGTTATTTAGTGATATTCCAGGATTTACTCAGGTTACTAACCATAGTATTGACACCGGAGATGCAATGCCAGTTCGCCAAAAACCATACCGGTATGATAAGAATAAGGAAAAAATTATAGAATGGCATATTACCGATATGCTACGTAAAAAGATCATAACGCCCATCTCAAGTAGTTATGCTAGCCCGGTGGTTTTATGTAAGAAAAATAATGACTATCCTTTGGAGCATCCAAAAAGGTGGAGATTCGCTATTGATTACCGTAAATTAAACTCCATAACTAAATATCCGGTATATCCGTTACCGATCAAAGAAGAAATTCTAAGGAACATAAAATCAACCAAATTTATGACGACTTTAGACTTAACGACTGGTTATTTTCAAATAGGGGTTAGGCCTGAGGACGTGCCTAAGACTGCTTTTATAACCAAGTCTGGCACTTATGCATTTTTGCGTATGCCGTTTGGCCTTTCAGGGGCCCCGGCAACATTTCAGCGATGCATGGACATTGTGTTAAGACCTGTTCTTGGAAAGTCCACATTTATCTATTTAGACGATATCATTATTACTAGTGATAATCTCGACCAACATGTACAGGATTTAAGACAGGTGTTTTCTTTATTAAATGAGGCCGGTCTAAAAGTTAATGTCGAAAAGTGCAAATTTGCAGCCCCTGAATTAAAATATTTAGGTTACAAAATATCTCAAAAAGGGATCGAGACAGACGAATCAAAAATAATCGCTGTACAAAAGTATCCGACTCCAAACACGGCAAAGAAGCTCTCTTCTTTTCTAGGACTTTGTTCATATTATAGGTCCTTTATAAAAGATTTTGCGGCTATCGCTGAGCCATTGTTAAAATTAAAAAGGAAAAAGGCAAGATTCTCGTGGACGGCCGAAGCCAATAGTGCTTTCGAAAAATTAAAACAAGCATTAACGCAAGCCCCTGTGTTGAAATTTCCTGAAAAGGATGAGAATTTAGAAATTTCAGCGGATGCTTCGGATTATGCGGTAGGAGCGGTACTTTCGCAAAATCAGCAGCCCGTGGCATTTTTTAGCCGAACTTTAAATCAAACTATTCCGCGAAACTACCGAGAGAGAGGCACTTGCAGTTCTGTTAGCAGTGCAAAAGTTCCGAGTCTATTTTGGAAAGGCGCCGATAACAGTGTAATTATATGCGGCGGTAACTAGATTGTACTCAGGGAAAAATTTATCCCCAAGGTTAATAAGATGGGCACTCAAGCTGCAAGAATATAATCTGGTAATCAAGCATACCCCCGGAAAGGAAAATATCGTAGCAGATGCCCTATCAAGAATTAAAATAGACGAACAAGGTAATACCGTAAAGGTGGCAATGCTTACAGCATGTAC